CAGTTTTTTTTTTACCGGGTAAACCAATATTCGTCGAAACGCGTGCAGCATTTTGAATAATTTCAATAGCGAAAAAAATGTATAAAAAAAAAAAAAGAGAAAAGGGAGGGAGGGAGGGAGAGAGACAGGGAGAAATCAAAAATCGGTGGAAATTAAATATCCGTAATCCGAGGCATCGGAATTACACGGGAAAAATGGACGGGAATATTAAATACCTGTAAAATCGCGTTTTTAAATTTCGAATGCGAATGGAAAAATATACGAGCACGAAAATATCCGACCGCGATGTATAAATCTTTAAATAGGAAACGCTCGTCAACTTGTGTCAACCGGGGAGGGGGGGGGGGGAAGAACGCGATGCTGTTGTCAGACGGAATATTTCATTTTTACATTTCTTCTCTCCTTTCCCCAATATTTGTCCCCTTTTTTTCTTTTCCTTTCTTTTTATCATTATTATTATTCCCACTTTTATTCTATTCCATTTATTACTTATATTTGCGCGCAAGCAGAGACGTCGTCCTTTCACCCTTTGCCGGGCGAGGAGAACGATCGTTCGAAAGAAATAATAATAAGAAAAAGAAAAAAACAGATCCATCCGTTCGAGCCGTATGGAAAAGAGATACGAAAAAGGAAGCGGGATGGTGTATTGGTTGGTACGTCGTCGTCGCGACTCCGAGTACTTAGTGGCCATGGCAACGGGTGCCAACTATTTTTCAGTTTTCCGCCCTTGCGGAGCGTCGTCCAACTTCACCCCCTTCCTCCTCCCTCCCTCTCCCTCTCCCTCTCTTTCTCTCTTTCTCTCGACCTTCGGCCTGGATTCCTTTCGACAGGAGGGAGGGCAGGGGGGGCTACATTTCTTCCCCTTTGTAGAATCCTTTCTGGAACGCCAACCCCCTTTGTGGTACACACGCGACAGCCATTCGCGCAACACTGAATAATACGATTCTCTTCTCTCGCCCGTTGTTAAACACAGACGCTACTTGATCGAGGCTGTGAATGTCCTCTTTCGCACTCGATCCTGTATTCACTTCGAGTGAAGGTGAAAGAATCGTGTGTGACTTTTTCCCGCTCTTTCCCGTTGTATTTTTATTTGTACGTTCCTCCATTTCCAAGATCAATTTCCATCCAGAAAATTTTCCATTTTCCAGAAAATTTATAATTTATTTCCATCCATCGTTTCGATCCACATTTCTCGACAAATTCGTTCACGAAATTTGCTCTTCCGGATTTGTTATCGTTGTTCGCGCGACGAATTCGGCATCGAGTCGTGGAAAGGTTGACACTCGATGGGAAGAGGAGTGGCGTTGAGTGGTAGATCCAGAGCGATTGAAAGGAGTGTGAAAAAAAAAAAGATGTTGGGGAGAGAAGGCCAAAGTGAACTTAAACTCCTCAAGAGGGTTACACGGTGGAAGAAGAGAAGGCGGACGTCGATACAGAGTGCTGTTTACGCCGTCGTCTCTCTTCTAACCTTCATTTCCCACTCCCCCCTTTCCCCATCTCCTTCCTTCTTTCCTTTCTTTTTCTCACTCTATCTTCTCTTTTCCTTTCGAGTGTTTAACCATCCCTCCTCCATGATATCGTCCCTCCACGATCCCTTCGATCTTCCTAGTAATTTGCTCCAATAGCCAATTATTCGGGCACCCGTCGCCCTTGTTTCTCCGCATTAAAATTATCCGTCCCGTGTAAAATTGGCGGCCAGTGTCATTGATACAACGAGAGATATATTTTGACAAGAATGCTTTTAATAATAACGAAAATGCTCCCACGGATATACGTATAATTAATCGAACCTGCTCTTTTAATCAACGATATTGCCTCGGCCCCGCAAACAATTTTCCCTACTAATCATAAACGTCGGGTTTATTTCATTTTAATGCGATTTTTAATAAAGCGGAGCACTCTGAAAATTAATTTCCCAATGTACAAATAACGCGCGCTGCATGGTTCCGCGTGTTATTCGAATGTCACGGAGATAAACCAGAGAGAAGTAAGAGGAAAAAGAAAGGGGGGAAATGTATGTTTCGCGCGTACGTAATATTCCGGTTCCAAAATTTTTAATAAATTCCCTACCCGTCGAGCGAAGATTTTTCCCCTTTTTTTTTCGTGAAAAATGTGTGAAAAAAAGTGTTGATGATGAATCCGAATCGATCGTCGTCCGAAACGAAAAATATTCAATCGAATTGTGAAACAGCCTCTAGAAACTTTAGCGTAGCGACGAGTCAGAGTTTTATAGTTGGGATGGGAAGGGTCGCGTGTAATATCACGACGAATCGGCGCCGAAACACCATCCGATCCGACATTTTTCTTATTAGACGCGCGAGCGCGTGGGAGATATCCTCGTTTCCTTTTCCACGTCTCTTTTTCCTCCCTTTACCGAGGGTTTTTATCCGTAAAAAATGTCGACCTTGCACCCCTGCGCCATTTTTTTTCATCCCTTCCGCGCGACGAGACCGGAATATAACTACCGCCGCCCCCTCAATTTGCATTTCTCCACCCTTCTCCCCCTCCCCCTCCCCCTGTTTCACATCCCTTCTCGCCCTTTTCGATCCCTATGCCGCCTTCGTTCTCGGTGACAAAGGACTCCTTCTAACGATAAGTGGACCGGTCCAACGGAATAAAGATGTTCCCGCGATCATCCTCCATTTTCCAATGTAATACAACGATAAATCTCGAACGGACACACGAGATCCATTTACGGAGATCCATCCGCAAGGGATCGCGAGATATTCTTCGAAAAGAATTTCGATGTTTCTTCTTTTAAAAAAAAGGGAAAAAATTCGCAAATATACTTTTACGACGTCCTACAATTTCGAATAATGCAACAATAATCCAATAATTATTTCCGTACGCTAAAAGATTGCTATCGATACATTTATTATATCACGATCAGTTCTTATATAATTCCCGTGATAATTATAATTCCGGAGAAAAATCGGGAATTTCACGCTCGATCATTCGGGAGTGAATTATGCCATTGCGAGTTACGCGATATTTTATTCCGTTCCCTCTCAGTTTTTAATTCCTAAATAACTCGAGCTTAATCACGCGGCAATCCATATCTGCGCAATAACGGAAAAAAGGAACGGGAGAGAGGGGGGAGGAAGAAAAAAGGAACGTGGAACCGTTCAATTTATACACACCTTCCCATTACGTTTGATCCATCCATCCGTCCTTCGATCTTCCTACATTCGAATTCGAATTTTCATCCCGTTTCCCGGAAATTATTCGCGCGTCACAAATTTATTTTACCTACTCCCCGAGGTGCTAATTTAAAAATTTTCGTGCGTGTAAACGGTCGGCCGAATAAATCACGAGCCACCGGACACGTCTCGTATTGTTTATTCGTTGCGTGACACGAACCGTGTTAAATAAATTTTATATTAAATAAATAAAGCAACATCATCGATTTATCGACAATACACACATATACTATATATATATATATATATATACGTATATCCACGAAACAGGAAATCGCTGGAAAATATCAGCTTGCATCGGGGTGAACGTTGCCAACAGGTAAACGTGAAAAAGCGAGACAAGAAAAATAAAAAATTTTTTACAAAGTGTCTTCCCTTGCAATAAAGAGAGGGATAAAAACTTTTAAATCAATTGCGAGAAGATAAGTCGGATACTCTGCTCCGCTATTTACTCCTCGCAATACCTTCTATGCACTGTATACACGTGCACGTAATACGTACATCTGAATCGTAGCGAGTTATCCCACGTATTTACGTGGGATTCCCTCTCGCGAGATCCTCCTCCGGGATTCTTCTTTCCCCTGGAAACCATATTCCGCCGCTCTGCCAACTCCATCGAGAGTATAACTGCGGCATCGTAACTGACAAAACTTTCCGTAGCCGCATTTATATGCGTGCCCGGCCGTTGCACGTAAAGTGATTCCGCTGTTACTCGTTAGAGACGTGTTCCACTGGAAATCGCTGGAACCACCACCGGCGAGCGGTGGATCCTGAAATGACGGCTTCTTCGCGACGATTTCGCGTCCCCGCGGGACACCGGGTGCGGTTTTTAATTCGCGTTCGTGTGCAACGCAGAGTGTATAATTCAGGGTTTAGAACGAAAGATCGATAATGAAAACGTTTCGTAACGTAAGCGTCTTATCTTTTCTCTATTTTTTTTTTTCCGAGAAATTTAATCAAGGGAATTTTATATATATATATATATATATATATGGGTAGAACGTTGACGGCACGATAGAACTAGAACTGCGTTTAATTTGTAAAACCGATCTGCGTACTTTTTACGTTGGAACGAAGGCTTGACCCGAATATCGTAAATCCATTACCACGATCGTCCCTCTATCTCAGGGATTTACAGTACGTCAATCGCTCCATTAAGGCTGAAAGGAAGAGGAGTGGGGAGGGAGGGAGAGAGAGCGTTCATCATGCTATCGATATAAATATTAAAACCTCCCTCGATAATAATAAATGAATTTCAAAAGATCCGATGATCTCTCGATCCAATTGCCCGTTCGAATCCTCTCCTCTCCTTTTAAATCGCTTATTTCATCGAAGATCGAGGACGTTGGCAAGATTTTTCTTTTCTTTTCTTTTTCTCTCTTCCTCTTCCTCTTTACCAATTCCATCTTTGTGTATCTTTGAATATTCTTCTAAGAGGGAATGTACTCCGGTTACCGAGTTTAATTAACGAAATAATAAAGGAAGAATTGCGATCGCGAGATAAGATAAAATGTTTCAAACGGATTCTCACGAGAATCACGTTTTCTTTTATTAATACGTGGATGAAAGCGTATTTTTCAGATTTCTATCAGGAATATAAACTTCATCGTCGGTTAATTTATATATGCCGCGAGGAGAATTAATTAGTTGCGTGGAACAACCTACCCCCCTCTTACCTCCCCCAATGTAATATGTTGCGTCTAGTAGCACGTGGTTCAGAATCGATGTCGGTATTATGTTGTATACGATCCTTGACGACACTCGATCATACTAACAACATGTCTGCTTCCTATGTTTCAGGTAAGGATCTAAATTTCGCCAGTAATAACGCCGGTGAGTGTTCATCTAACAATATAACGTTATAACTGTTATGCATGCGCTTCTCTCTTTTGCGTTGCCCACGTTCCTTTCTCTTTATCCCCATCCCCGATTCGTCGATTCATATTTATTATCGATCGACCAAATATTTCGTTTAACACCAATTATTAAATATATCGTGCCGCAACGAGATTGTACGAAAATATATTCAGATCGTAGATACCTCTGGAATTGTACATTACACCTAATTAATACGAGTTGTAGCTAATATTTTAATAATAATAATAATAATAATAACAACAACAACAATAATAATAATAATAATAATAGTATTAATAATAATATATTTAGCAATTTATGATAATTGATAATACGCAAATTAATAGCCAAAATAGATAATAGATATGAGATTAGATAATGTTAGCAACATAAAGCATTCGTTATTACTTCGTATACAGTCGCGGGAATTACTCGTACTCGGTTAAATAATATCTCTCTCTCTCTCTCTCTCTCTCTCTCTCTCTCTCTCTCTCTCTCTCTCTCTCGATATATCAATTCCCAAAGGTGAGAGGATTTATGGAAGTAGATTAACGCGAAATTATTACGAATTTAATTTTTACTCGCGAGAGACGGGGACGAGAAATTTCTATTTATCAGGATCGTAATTTGAACGTGAGATTATCCGGCGAGCGGGGGATATTTCTCCGCGCGCGAGACGGAAACAGAGAACGCGAGAACGATAAGGTCGAATCTATTCGAATCTACTTCTTCTTTTTCTCCTCCCCCTCCTCCGTGTCTCGCGACTGCAATTTCACCCCGAAGATTTCACCCCTTCGCGCCAACGCACACGGGGACAAAAGGGAAGATTTACGTGCATTACGGAGGGAGGGGGGAGGGAGGGGAGAGGTATTCTTTCGAAAAGCCCATTTTCAGTAATGCGCCAAGCTCGTAACCCGTGGAAATAGATCGAGATCGCGAAATGTAGCGAGATAAGGGGGGACAAATTGCGTCCAGACAACAGTCTGGATGATTAGTCGAATAACCAATGACGAATTTACCGAATAGTTTTCAAGATTCGAAACACCTTCCTTCCTTCCTTCCTTCCTTCCTTCCTTCCTTCGTTTCTTGGAAGAAGGAAGATTCGAATTGTCCCTGAATTCTTCGTGATCCGAAATTCGAGAATGAGAGCGAGATATCCGAGCAAGGATAGCGGTGACACGAAAGGGGCGCGTAAGGGGTTGGAGGACGTGGATGCGGGAGAATAGGGAGGGAGGGAGAGTTGCGAGGGACGTAGCGAGATAAGATCGGCAAATTGCAGGCAATCTGGCTGATTAGGCTGCACGCTGGTAATCCTACTAGGTTTCACGAGGGAGCCTGGGCCACGACCTATAACAGCCTTCAACCCTCTTCGACGTGTATTAGCCGAAGAAACGGGAAAAGGATAGGACGTGGAAGAAACGACCGCTAACACGGCTAGCTACGCTGTATCCGCACGGTTCCTGGAGATTAGGGGATCGTTGAATGGAAGGCTGACGAATTCGGAGGAGCTCAAGTTTTTTTTTTTTTTCTACTTCGAGCAATATCGTTCTTTCCCCTCCTTTCTTTTTTTTCTTCTCTTTCCTCTCTTCGTTTCACACGTTTTTGTTCGAGAGATTTTTATATGAATCGAGAAATTGGAAATGAAAATAATTCAAAAAGTGTATATTAAATTTCGTTGTTTGTAAATAAGTTTGTTTCCAGAAATGATCTTTCGGTATATTTTAATCTTCGTCCTTTCAACTTCAATTTGATAAATTACTCTCTCCTGAATTTTCAATTCTAATTAAATTTAATTAACCGGTATATCAGTTTCGCTTCACTTCACATTAAGGAATATCTACCGTTACCTTTGCTCCTCGTGCTGCTCGATGCGCAAAATATTCATTAATTTTCAAAATCATTTCCTATCATCGCTCAAGCGTATTTCGTACAATCGTGTTCCAAATAAATATTTATAAAAAATCGTTAGAGAATTAAAGATAGAAACTAAAAAAAATATTTTCGCTTCCCGATTCTCGTCGGTCGAAGCTTAGTCGAACCAAGGCGGAGATTCAAGCAAGATTGAAACGCGTTTAAAATCCTCTTTCAAAACCTAACCTCCTCGAGTCGAAACCATCTCTTCACCCCTCATTTCCATGTAACGCCTGCATAAAATGTTACTTATCTCGAGACTCGTTTTCCTTTTCGTTCCACCTTCATCAGCCTTATCTTTCGCTTCAGCGAGGCTGCCTCGAGCCTCTCTACTTTATATCAAACAACTACAATCAAACTTCAACTCACTCCAACTCACGCTTTTTATCCATTCCGATTTATAATCCACGGATTACTCTATTTATAAAATATCTTTCGAAAATCGAAGTTGAAAGATAATTTCATTCGTGGAAACTTCAAACGTGGAAAACTTCGAAAACCTGTTCCACTGTTGAACATCGTATGTGTATTTTTCTCGAATCGTTATTCTTCTCTCTCTCTCTCTCTCTCTCGCTCTCTCTCTTTTTCCTTGTTTTTTTTCCGCTTCAATTTATTTTAAACGCGGCGAAGACTCGATCATGGAATTAGCATTTCCCGAGTGTCGCGAGCAGACCAGCGGATTGGAACTGGCACTCGATAACGAGCCGAAAAGAGCGAGTGGAATACGGGGCGACGGAGGAAAAGAGGGACGCGTGTGCGTGAAATCGACGCGTGACAAAATTTTCAGAGTTTCAAATCCCGCCTGATATTTTCCGCTTGGGAAAAAATTGTCAGGGGGTAAATAAATAAAAGTTTACACAATATACGCGCGATTGTCGGTGTTACGACGTTGACCCGCGGTATTTTGTCGGAAGGTGAATCGTTATTCGGCGCCATTTCTTTTCGTTTTTTTTTTATTTTCGAAGCCAGCTGCGTTAACTTATCTTTCTCGAGGAGTGAAAAACCGAACGAATGGATGTATAATTGTATAAGTTGCAAAGATTATTCGAATCGTTGGTTCGAACGTTGATTTTGAACTTCACGGATGTTGAAGTTCTCCGATTTATTTACTTTGGCGCCATCAGAAAATTAAACGCTGGCTTTCTGTTCCGCCCTCGACGTTGAAAAATCAACGTTTCTCCTCCTCCTCCGTAATTTCCCTCGCACAAAAGAACGCGTCTCATCTTACAAGAAAGTGCATCTTACAATAACGCAGAAATAGAAAACGTTACACGTTTCCACGTCCATTGCATCTCAAACAGGATTAATTTCTTTAACATGGGAAATTTTAAGAATTGTGGAACGAAATTTAATTATTAACACGATGACGGGTTCGAACGGAAACACTCTCGGATTTACGATACGAAGAATACTTATTTAGAAATATAATATCCGATAATAGTAGGTCGACACGTTTCGCAATTAAATCAACGAACGAATGAATTATTTATTCGAGGGAGGGGGGAGGGGAGAATATTTTTCTTCCCTCCATTTGTACCAGTTCGTTTGCCCGTATTGTTAGCCGACATTCGACCCGATACGGCTACGGTATATTTAAAAGCAAAACCGGAAGCTTGGCGAATGTAATAAATCGCAAGGGGAAGAATCGTCGCTCCCCGCCGATCTATTTATATCTCCTAGGGAGATATAATTGGAATTAAAGTTGGCCATAATCTTCCATTCCAGTTCGACTTGCATTTTTCTTTTCGTTAAAAAAAAAAGAGAGAGAGAAAGAGAGAAAGAAAGAAAGAAAGAAGGAAAGAAGGAAAGAGAGAAAAAAGAGAGAAAAAAGAGGAAATAGGGCAAAAAGGGCGACTGTATGGCGATCCATAAGCGGAAATAGTAATAGAATTTCGAAACGGGTAAACCCGGTGGCGGGGGATGAAGATAAAAACAGAGAATAAAACGGGGAACCGGATAGAGTGAAGAGAGAGAGACAGACAGAGAGAGAGAGACAGAGGGAGATAGTGATAGTTTTAGAGAGGACGGTAGGAGGAGAAACATCGTCAACTCGACCACGTCTACCGAGGGATTATCGTGGGTGACAAAGGGATTTGAAAGAGGCGGCATGGAATTGGATTCTGGGGGAAACGCAAGAGGCACTCGAAAGCCGCTTTGTGTCTCTCCATACAATAATTATTTGCGAAATTGTCGTGAAGCTGCGAGATATCGAGTGGCTTTTGATGACGGATATTTCTTCGACAGGGGGAGGGGAGAGAGGTGTCCGATAAAAATCGTTCCATCATTCCACCGGATCCTGCGTGTGTCCCCGTAATTATTCCGATTCGATTGAATTAGTATCCCTCCTCTCACCTCCCCTCTCGTTCCTTCACTTGTCGTTTTATTTTTTTCAATACCCCTTCCCATCGCTCCTCGTTTCGTTGGTCGGCCCTCATCCCTCTCCATAGTCTCCTCTCCCCAGTCCAGTCTTTCTCTGTCGCCGTTCTCTGTAACCGGGAAACTGTAGTATGGAAAAATGCCTACGCTCCCCTTTCCTCTTCCTCCATCCCATTCCATTTTCTCCTTCCCCCTTTCTCGCTTTGTTTTTCGGTGGTTGTGGTTTAATTAGAAGCCGAGAAATTAAAACAAACGAACGCACGGGGCGTGCACGCCCTTGCGTTGTTTCCTCCTGCTTTGGTCTCACGAGCATCGAGCATCGCTTCGCAAACAACGTTTCTTCCTCCGATCTTTGCCACCGCGTTTCGCAAAGAGATTAACGTAATATAATACGTTGTCGCCGGGATACGGGGAAATGAATTTTAATCTCAAATCCCTTCCAATTTTTCTAGGATTGGTCGGAAAGAAAAATAAAATAACGATATATCCGTCGCGTGTATCGGCAAAAATATCATAGATGCTCGTGATTTTTTTTATCATTCGTCATCCATCCACGACGCCTCTTCCTCGCGTATTTCCGAAACGTATACCCGAATATTTCTGTTCTAGGCCACGATTCGTGTGTATCACGTCAACAGCTTCCCCCCTCCCCTCTTCCCACCAACCGGAAAAAATACCGAAAATGCACG